CCGCTGAAAGCTAGATGGCTCTCTGAAATCTGTGACAGAAATGGTATGCACAGGGCCCATCTACACTGCAGCCGATTTCACAGTGGCCCAACTGTACCCCTTCATGAACTCATTCATTATTCCATATGCTTTCTGGGCTCTACGCTATGGCTGACCCTGTCCTATGAACTAGACAAAGGCGGATTGTCCCCTGCCCTGATTGGTTCTCCCTAGTCCCCTTCATCATGCTCTGTAGAGGGAGACTGGACATTGTTTTCCTCAGCCCCCTTCTTTCTCACAGCCATGGCAGATTTTCCAGAGGTCTCAGAAATAGACTCGTGAAAAGATCTGGGAGAAGGGATGAATCACACTCACATTTGAAAACCCACCGAGGAGCTGTCAGGGTTTGCAACTGTCCTCTTCGAACCCCTGGAAATATACTTAAGATTCCTTGGAGATGCTCGTTAATGGCTGGGAGAAAACATGGCTTGGGTCTGATGAATTCCCAGTGTCAGGTCAAATTCTCAAAACCTTCCAGGACTCTTACCATAGATCCACCTTAGTGATGCTGATGATGTTGGCATGGAGTCCATAGTGGGAAGGGCTGGAGAATGCAAGGAAAGATGTGGGACAAAAAGCAGGGGCCACATCTGCTAGTCCCTCACATAATCTTCCTTTAATGATTTCCCCCACTGATTTTAGAAAATGCATGCTCATGGGATGAAACTGGAAAAATAGAGCTATCACTTCTAAAGAAACAAAAGTAAAGCAGAAACCCAGAGACGGTAGTGTGACCATTTGCAATGGGCTTTTGTTTTTGTTTTTTGTACATGATACTTTCCTTAAAAACTGTTCTGTTCTGTGAATGGTACTTCACAATTCACTTCCCCCTTTAATGATATGTTACAAGAACATTTTCCCACCAGGTTAAGCTTTGTTTCTGATAGAGTTTTAATGACTACCTAGTATTCCATCTCACAGATGTTTAATTTAGCTAACACCATATACTTGTGTCTGTTTTTGGTTTGTGTATCTTTTTCTTTGCCACTATAAATTACATGATGTAGACATTGGGGAGACTGACTCAGGCTGCTCTGTTGTTGTGGTCATAAGTTACTTATTTCTTGCTCAGAAGCCACTGGTCTCTTTGGAGGCCAGAGACCCTTCACAGCCCTTTCTCAGAACAGAAGGACAGATTTAATCTATTCAAGCTAGACACCGCCAGAATGTGCTTATAAACCCACAGAAAGACCCACCAATGTAGAAAGACAGTGGACTCAATTCAGCACAACTCTATTCATAGAGGTGTTAGTTCAGACAAGACTGGTCCCCTTGACTGATCTCCTCAAGCCCTGGCTGTCTCTTTAGCAGGAAATATAAACTCGGTATTAGGTAGCAATGGAAGCAGAAAGAAGCAACTGTAATCATGGGTTGTGAAATGAAGCATTTTTGTTGTTTCAGATTTTCAATGTCGGGGTTAGAGATAGCTCAGCAGTTAAGAGCACTGACTGCTCTCCCAGAGGACGCAGGTTCAATTCCCAACATCGACATGGCAGCTCACAACTGTCTGTAATTCCAAGATCTGGCATACATGCAGGAAAAATGCCATGCGCAGAAAATAAAAATAAATTATGATAAAAAGATTTTTACTGTCTCTTCTGCTCCATCAGAGGAGACAATCAGAAGATGGTTAGAATAAAAGATCCAGGCTCACAAGTGACTCACCTAGGCAGAGAGGGGAAGGCATGGCTTCCAGAACTGGATGAACTCACACCAGTGAATTTGGAGCAAAATCTAGGCTGTTGGTCTCCAATGAAGCTTACCTGCAAGAAATCTAGCTGCACCTGGGATGAGCCTCAGTGCGACTCCTGTGTTTGGATTTTTGATGGTTTGGCTCAGTGCAAGCCAGAGAAGTGTGCTCTCTAGTGGAGGGGCAAGCACTGTGTGGCGGAGGCCTTAGAGGTCACCTCCTGCTCTGTGGTCCTCTCCTTCCCTACTCTGTTCATATCTTTAGCAAGATGTTGGATGAAACCACTAAGAAGAAATTCTGCTTTACGAGGCAAAATCCAGACCCCTTTGGTCCCTTGCTGAGGCATGGAAGCTTGTAGAAGAGATGGTGAGAGGAAGGCTTAAAGGAGGGGATGATCTAAGGAGACTGGCATGGAATGTATACAATGGCAGAATGCAGAGGTGCAGGCGAGGAAGACATGGTGGTGTGTGCATGCGCACACGCATTGCTCACTCAGTTTAATGGAGTTCTGAGAGAGGAAACCGTGGGCTCAACTGCTCATGAAAAGTCACGGGGCGGGCTCTCCAAAGCAAGTGGGGGTGGAAGAGCCAGAGGATCACAAGCTTCCCTTTAGGCCAACATTTTTGTCTTGACTCCAAACGGTCTTCTCTTCTCCACTGCTCTCATATGTCATCAGACACCCCCGCCCAGACTGACAGTCCCGTATACACAAACCCAGCGCCCGAGAGAGCCGTTCCTTTCCCAAGCCGCTGAGGGTCTTCTGGGGGTTGGGAAGGATTCATTCTGAGCAGATCCGGAGCTGGCTGAAGAGCTCAGCTGTCTCATCTCCTGGGAAAGATTTACTGTGACAGAACATGGCTGCCTCAGGCAGCCCCACCCACCACCCCCATCTCCTCTTCTAAGCCTGAGGCTGGGGTTGGGAAGTTTATAGAGAGGCTGGGAAAGGATCAATATTCCTGTCCTGAGAAACAAGAAAGAACTGTTCAGAGACAGAGGAAGCCTCTCTTCTTGCCCATAATTGGACAGTGATGCTATGATCAAGCCAGACGGGAGAAATTCCTACCTTCAACCAGCCCAGGTGCACAGGACTTCCCACTTGGCCTGTGCCTGGCTGCCAAACATTTACACCCAGGATGTGAAGTCCCTTTCTGTCCCATTAGATGTCCTCTTTCCCTCTCTACTGAGTTCAGGGACAGGCTCTAACTGATTTCTACTGTAGCTTTCTCTACTGCAGGGATGAGCTAGCTTCTGTCTGCAGCTCTGATCCTTCAGTGTGACATCTTCAAAGCAATGAGAGGCTGATGGGTCCTTGAGAGCCACCTGGACAGCTGACCTTGGCAGTGCTCTGTTTGGGGGCATTAGATATACTACTGCCTTATTTAGTGCCACAGGATGGGCACTTGTCTTCCTTCCTTATAGATAAGTCTGTTGATATCCAGGGAGGTTCATAAACTTGCCCAAGATCACAGGTAAAGAATGGTGGAATGAGAATTGGAGTCTGGCAGCCTGGTTTTGTGCTGTAGGTAGGGAAAAAAATGGTTCCAGTTTTGTGAAGCCTTGGTGCTGGCTCAGCTCTGATCTCGGTTGATGACAATATTCTATCTTGTTCCTTCTCTGGACACTACCTGGGCTGCTCACCTTCTCGGCTACCACCAGGATGCACTGTTTTTACATAAACCCCTTCTCCATCCCACCATTACATAAACCCCATCTCTAGCCCACCGTAGACTCATCATGAAGGGCATGACCAGGATCTCACATGATGACAGCAGCCTTCCTCAACTCCGCATTCACACAGATCCCAGGGAAGTGCCTGGACGGGAAGTGTCCCAGTGTGCCTTGCTGCAGGAGGCCAATGCTGACATGTCGAGTACCCTCATTTCTACAGTGAGGCAGCAATAACAAACACAGCGGTTTGTGATGGCTGAGGGAACCTATGTAAGGCACTTAGAGCTGTGCCTGGCACATTGCACATGCTTAGTGAGGGCCAGCAGCCCTTGATATTGTTATAGTTGTCCTTATTACCCCTATGCTTGCAGACAGGAGACCCTTGTGGTGAAGTCTCATTATGCAGCCCTGACCTGCCTTGAACTCACTAGGTAGACCATGCTGCTTCAAACTTTGACACTCTTCCTGCCTCTGCCTCCCAAATACTGGGATTGCAAGCACACCTGGCTCGTTTTTCCCTTCCCTCCTTTCCCTTCCTTTTTGCAGTGCTGGGTTTAGAAACTTAGGGCCTTGTGCATAATAGATACGCTTTCTACCTCTGGGTTATATTTCTAGCCATAGTGTTCTGTTTTAAAACTGGGGTACAGATCTTTAAAGCATCTTAGGCCGTTTTGTACTTATCCTGTGACAGATTCATTCGCCCCCCCCACACCTCTATATCTCACATCAGCAGTGCAATTGAGCCTGCCATCCTTCTATAGGGTCTCCTGGTGATGAAGAGTTTTGGTATTTTGGGTTATTCCTTCACTTCCGACACTGAGGAATATAGTCTGGTCCCTCGGATATAGAGGCCGTCAGAGAAAAAGGGGAGCTGCCCTTGACCATCAGAATGTTACTTGTCTCCTGTGCCTGTGCCCGTCTTCACACGGTCTAGGCACTAAGGCAGTGCCCATGGCTCCGCCCCTTCAGCAGGCTCCAGTGGTGATGAGAGAGAAGGCAAGTGACAAGTTGGCAGGGGCCATGCAGACGACTGAATCATCACTTCATATGCTACTAACTCAGACCTGCAACTCCGATAGTGGCTTTGGGTCTCTAAAGACCTTAGAACCAGAGCCCTCTCCAACAGCAGGAATCCACCATCCCTCAGCAACAGGATGAGCAATACTGATATGGCTGGTTTAGGAGCCACCATGCTGCTGCCCCACTTGCCAAGGCCTGCCACTGGCATATGCCCGGGGAAGAGGTGTATTAGACCCTGTAGGCCCCTGGAGCAGACATGCTATTGGCTATCCATAGGATCTCTGATTATGATATTATAGTGGTTTCTGGGGAAGTGTCCATGTCGTGGGGGGGGGGATTTGATGGGATTTGTTTGCTAATGGAGAAGCAGAGGGGCAGCCTTCCCACCTCTTCACTGGTAGACAAGCATGAAGCAAAGCCAAAAGTCAGGATTTCCCCAGACTCTAGGTGTGGCTGCTGTTCAGCACATTCACCATCCCTAGCAGATCATCATGTTTCCCCTGCTTCTGAGTCTTATTCCCACTGTCTCTACGTGTGATGTCAGACTATGAGGAATCTGACCCATTTTCCTGTGGCTGCCTTCACCAAACAGACTCCTCAATGGGGAAGGGTGCTGTGGTTCTGTCTCCAGACATAGACCAGCAAGAATCAGAGTTGGGATGTGCTTAAACAGGAAGGAGATGGGAGGGGGTCATGGTGAGGTGAGTGTGGTGGTGCCTTGGAAAGCAACGAGGGAAGGAGGGTGGCCTCCTCAGGTGGGGGTCGTCACCTCATGAACACTTCAAAGGGCTTGGCCCAGTTGCCAGGAGAAGGCATTGAAGATGGACATTCAAAAGATTTCTCCCCACTTCTGCCCCATGGCCAAATCACAGTGGATCTGGATAGCCTGGGGCAGTTAGCTACAACAAGAGGGCATTCTAGGATGTGAATCTTATACAAAGGATACAGCAAGACACAGGTCTAACTCCAGCTAAGTAGTCAAGTGAATCAACACTTAGGATTCCAGGTAGATCTACTGAGACTCCTGTGGGAGCCTAGACGAGAAATTCTAGTCTGTTCATCAGTCTTGGCAGGTAATAAACAGGCCTCAACCCCAGGCACACAAAAACCATAAGCTGAGGTCCTGGGATAGGTCACCTTAAGCCCTGCAGGGGAGGTGACTGGGAACACCCAGGCATGCCAGCAAGCAAGAGGGAATTACAGGTGTGATTTGAAGTGTGGCTGGACCGGTTTCAAGCCTGTGACCTGCCCATGGAAAACTGGTTCCATTTTTAACAACTGTCAGCTTGGTCCCACTTGAGTTCAGAGAGGCAGGCTGGCTAGACAGAGTTTGGGGAGAGCTGTCATTCCTGTTGATCAGCTAAAGCCTCCCCAGAAGCTGATAGACAGGGGTGTTCCTTATGCTTTGCTGGAAGAACAGGCTGAAGGCTGAGGTCTATGTAAGTCTTCAAAATCAGCACCATGGCAGGCACCTTAATCAGTCCTGTAGTAACCTGTGTGGGATGGACAGGCGAGAATATGAGGTATGATGGGTAGAGGTGGAAAGGGAGGTTTTGAAACAGAATACAACATTCACCATGAACATAGACCTTAGTGCCTATGGAAGTGTGTGTGTGTGTGTGTGTATGTGTGTGTGTGTGTATGTGTGTGTGTGGCTTGTGCTGTGTGTGTGTATGTGTGTGTGTATATGCATGTATGTGTGTGTGTATGTGTGTGTATGTGTGTGTGTGGCTTGTGCTGTGTGCGTGTATGTGTGTATGTGTGTGTGTGCGTGTATGTGCGTGTATGTGTGTGTATGTGTGTGTATGTGTGTGTATGTGTGTGTATGTGTGTGTATGTGTGTGAATATGTGTGCGTGTATGTGTGTGTGCGTGTATGTGTGTGTATGTGTGTATGTGTGTGTGAATATGTGTGTGTATGTGTGTGTGTGAATATGTGTGCGTGTGTGTATGTGTGTGTGAATATGTGTGTGTATGTGTGTGTGTGAATATGTGTGCGTGTGTGTATGTGTGTGTGAATATGTGTGTGTATGTGTGCGTGTATGTGTGTGTGAATATGTGTGTATGTGTATGTGTGTGTGTATGTGTGTATGTGTGTGAATATGTGTGCGTGTATGTGTATGTGTGTGTATGTGTGTGTGTGAATATGTGTGCGTGTATGTGTGTGTGAATATGTGTGTATGTGTATGTGTGTGTGTATGTGTGTGTATGTGTGTGAATATGTGTGCGTGTATGTGTATGTGTGTGTATGTGTGTGTGTGAATATGTGTGCGTGTATGTGTGTGTGTGTGTGGCTTGTGCTGTGTGTGTGTGTGTGTGTGTGTGGCTTTGCTGTGTGTGTGTGTGTGACTTAAAGAGCTAAGCAAAAAGGAAAAACTGGGGAAAAGAAAAAACAAACAAAACCAACAAAAACCCAAAACTAACCCCAGCCTTTTCTCCCCCTGTAACCATTAGGAAGAAAATGAAGTCTAAATTGTGTTCAGGGTTTCTGGGACAGAGGAAGAGATGCAAGAATGGAAAAAACAGGCCGTAAAGATGCCAGGACTCCTTAAGCAGAAACATCTGTTGAAGTCATAAGACTCGGGGCCAGTCGGGCTCCTAACAAACCCAGGAAGAGGAGGGTCTGCAGTGGTCAGGATGCCCCCTGTGTCCAGTGCAGACCCCTGGGACAGCATACGTGCACGAAGAGGGGATACCTTCTCTCCAGAGCTCCTCCAGGCCTGGCTCCTGGCAGGAGAGGAAAGATTAGGGAGGAGCCTGGGGCCTCCAAGGGCAGGGATGTGACAGCAGTTTTGACTGTGTATTTATCTAAAGCTTTAACTTTCTGGGGTAGCCTGGAGAGCCACATGTCTCAGCTTCTACAGCTAAAGAGGAGGTGGTGGTAGGATGGGAGGGAGGGGGAGCTCCCCAGTGCCTTGGAGCTCTGCTTGAGTTTTGCATATTGCAGCCCGTTCTACTATTTGTACCTTCGCTCTGAGCCCACTATCTAAGGCCTGCCCCCTCTGACAACTACCAAAATGGCGTGGGGGGAGCCAATTCTCAGTCAATGTACTTTCTGTGCCGCACTCCTGCTAAGCTCACCTCACTGAACTCTCTGGCAAATGTATCTTGCTGTTGGGTAGAATATATATAAGCCTGCCTTCAGGAAGGTTCTAATATGAGTATTGCATTCCGGAAGGAAACCGAGGCCAAACACTGCTAAGGGATGCCCAGGTCACCCAGTCATATACTCCAAGGATGGTCTCTCCTCCCTCCCTCCCACAAAATTAATGTGAGTCAGCCGAGCACTGTGCAAAATCACCCCAGCATTCATGCAAACCTCAAGAGTCCCCCACACGCCTGAGGCTCATGCATCCCTCTGCTCCATCTCATCAGCCTAAGGTGTACAATTGGAACCACAACTACAGAACATGCCACCCCCCAAAGGAAAACTGGCAAGACCCCCAACTGGTGTCATGGCAACAAAATCCTCTAACTCTCAAAGAAACACAGGTAGTGAAAGAGATGAAAACCAGACCCTATTTTACTTCCTTGTGGGAAGCAGGGAAGGTTCTGGAAGACTCCATCGTGCAGGCTAGTTTTGTATCCTCTTCTAAGAATTCCTCCTCCAGCCTGGCCAGGCCTGGAACTATCATTGACACAGCTATCTGGTTTGTGTTAGTCAGCTCCATTCTTCCCATGGCCCCGGGACCCTTACTTCACATGAGTGGATATACTTGAGATGAAAGGTGACCACTGTTGGCAATGGGGCTCATGGCTAGGGAACTAAAAATACCCCAAGGAAATGCAAAAATGAAACAGCTGGAGGACAAGCTGAAGCCACAGTATCAAGATAGTGCAGGCTATTTAATGGTCCCTAAGCGATGTCTAGTCTGTTATCAATCTCGGGGTTGGGAGCTGCTAGTGTGGGACCCCTGCCTGCCTCACACCAAGTCCTTGGGATAGGTTGTAGCACATCTACTCTAAAGGGAAGGAGAGAGCCTCAGACAGAGGCCTGATTTCCCTTCTGCTACTCATTGCTGGGTGCTAAGTTGGAATCAGGGGGCTCTGCTGTGTCATAGATTTTGTGTGTCGTGTTACCTAGTGAGCACATGAAAACTCACTCCCTGATTCAGTGGGGGCCTGAGGTCCTACATGAAATAAACAGGCAGCGGGCCTGGGGGCTTGACTGCCCTCTTTAATGCTCCACCCCTACAGCCATTTGGGTTGGCGCCACTCTGCCCCTCCAGTAAAGCTTTCCCACCCCAGGATGCTAGGGTTGACCAAGAAGCCTCAGTGCACAGCTACTCACATGCTTCTCACTTGGCTGCATGTTTCCTCACAAAGGCCAGCAGGGGCCTCTTCAGTGAGGATCAGAAGACAGCCGCTCCCCTGGGGGCTGGCTCCGATAAGACTTTGATATGATTTTGGTATCTCAGCGGATAGATGTGATGAAATCTCTTTTAGATAGCCTATCCCGCAAGCAGGGGGAATTCCCCACCATTGCTCTGACCAGCAGAGGGATTAAGAGTCTGCCCCTCTAGTCTCGGTGGGAGCAGGAAACCAGGCCTTTAGAGGTCCACTGTGAGCTCAGCTCATGGGAGGCCGGGCCAGGAGGCTTTCTGAGGGTTTGAGGCTAGCCCAGGCTATATTATGAGCCCCCGTTTTGGAGAGAGAGAGAGAGAGACAAAGACAGAGAGACAGAGACAGACAGAGACAGAGAGACAGAGACAGAGGGAGTGTATTTGAGGCAAGGGGCTGTGACCAAAGTTCCTGGTTCTACTCCATTTAAGAGAAATGGAGAGAGAGAGAGAGAGAGAGAGAGAGAGAGAGAGAGAGAGAGAGAGGGAGGGAGGGAGGGAGGGAGGGAGGGAGGGAGGGAGGGAGGGAGGGAGGGAGGGAGGGAGGGAGGGACAGGGAGAGGGACAGGGAGAGGGACAGGGAGAGGGACAGGGAGAGGGAGAGGGAGAGAAGGAGAGATCTTCTGGCTTTATTTCCCTAGGGCTAGCTCTGGGTTTAAGAATCCAAATCTCTTGAGAGGACTTGGGTGGTCTACATTCCACAGTAAAGAGAGGCTAGAAGAGGCTTGGGGTCCAACTTCTCCACAGCACATGGTTAGGTTCCTAAGATAACCCAGAAAACTCCAGTCCAGGCCCAGAAGCATCTTAGCGACTCTCTTCCCTGCTTTGCTTCTCAGAAGGGTCCCTTCTGACACCCCATGTGAAGGGGCCACCTGGGTACAGGCGCCCTGCTGGATGCTGGCATGCAGCACGTGAGTGGGACTCTCTGACTGCTGGCCCTGTGGAGCTCACAGTAGAGAGAGCTGGCTTTTCATCCAGTAACTGACAGTGGGTATAAGCCATGGGTACACACTCTCTAACTGGCCTCAGGTTGTCGTCTTGGGGTTGACTTGTTTATTCAAATACTGCTTTGCTGACTTGAGTCTCTTCTGACCCCAATGTCCCTCCTCCCTCTACCCTGACACTACCCTTTTATAACCCACTGGACACCTTGGTTCAAACCAGAGCCACAAGTGGACTCATACTGGTTTAGGCATCTGGAACTCAGTAGTACAGCAACCAGGAAGGCTGTTCCATGGGAACATTGTGTTTGCCTTAGTAAGAAAATCAAATCAAGGTGCACGTGGGGGGCAAGGTTGGTTGTATGGGGGCCAGGGTGAGTAAAGATTGGGGTGCACAGGAGGACATGCTGCACCCAGGCTGTTGCTACAGGGCCTTGTGCTTTCTCGAAGCCCCTGCCTCTAGTTTTGAACAATACTGGAGCAAGGCCATCACAGCTCTGCCTGTCCACTCCAGCCTCAAAGCACTTTCCGGCTCCCCTTGGGTGATCTTCTCTTGCCTAGGCTAGGCGGTGAGGAGGCAGAGGGCAGAGTCCTGGCGGAAGGTGGCTTTGCCATGAAGACTCACTGTCTCCCAGGGAGCGGGCCTCACTGAGGATGCTTTACAGGCTGCGATGAGCTCTGCAGCAGATGAGCTGTTGTCTTGGCAACCCTAATGAAAAGCAGGCCTCAGAGAGAGCCAAGAACCCCCAGGGACTGAGTTATCTCCCCCTCTACAGCTCTGCTCGCCGCCCCACCAACAGTCTCAGATCAAACTCCCCGAATATTTATAAAATCCAGAAACAGAGAAAGTCAGTGGCCTGGCCAGGCGTCTGCCCACGTCTTTCCGGCTGCTCGGGTGACACTGTCCAACGTGGCTCATTATTCTGTTTTTCTTCTTTGCATGAGTAGGACAATGAGAGAGGGGATGGGGGTGGGGGAGGGATGTCTGCTCTGCCCTCTTAGGTTGACTTTGAGTCATGGCATTTGCGTCAAGTCAGGGGTCTCACTGCTCTGGTCCTCCCAGTGTGTCTTATTTCGTCCCATGGATTCCTGAAGCAGCCTGGTTGCTTACTTCCTCTGTGCCCACCAGCCTCTGCCTGGAGCTTTGTGGCAGTTTCTGAGGCAGAGTAATGTTGGGAAGCTGAAAATGCAGAGGACTGCAGGCAGAAGGGGCTGGTCTCACTGCCGTGGGGAGCAGGCATGGGGCTTATTCACTCTGAAGAAAAGGGCAGTCCTCACATGCAGCCAGCAGGGAATTGAAGCTGCTCTGAGAAAATCCAAGTGACCTCTGTTCATTACTTGTTTTGCCTGGTGGATATTAAAATGCAAAGAAGTTGAGAAACATACAGCGCACAGAGGGGCAGAGGCGGGGTGCAGCAGCGGGCTTTGTCCCGCTGGTAAATGGAAAGGCACCGCTCGCCCGGTTGATGAGAATGTCATGTGGTTGCCCTTTGTGACAACCTGGTCCCCTGGGGGTGGTATAGTTCCATGTAGGGAAGCAGCAAGGGGGTTGTGGACAGGTCCTAGATTGGAGAGGTTGAATGCAATTTGCGTGTCATGCCCAGCTCTGCCAGACTCAGACCTCCAGCCTGGGTGAGTTGTGAAACCTTCCTCCCCATCTTTGGAAGGTGAGGGCTAGAGCAGGTGTTCTTTAAGGTCTCTTCTGGGAGTTTTATTCAGCGAGGAGAGATCACAAGTGCTATACAAAAGCACACGAACGTCGTCCCTGGGTCAAATGTGGGTCGTGCGGGGTTACTGGCGTGGAACATGAAGAGTGAGGAGGCTTCAGAGATGTGCTGGGAACCTTTCATGGAGGAAAGCTCCAAAACGGCTTCCAGGACGAAAAGATTTAGACAGATAAGACAGCTGAGTGGGGACACAGAAGCAGGTCTGGGAGGGAGAGGCAGAGCGAGGCCGAGGCAGAGGCCAGCTTGTAAGGGCTGGGGAGGATGCTGGGAACTGTAATAAAGGCTGTCTCAGGCTGTGAGGAGCATCAGTGTGGGTAAGAAAAGGGGCTTGCTCCTCGCCTACACAGATGAACCGAACTGCTTTGAGTGACATCCACCAACCCCGGGCGAGGTGAAGGGGAACCAGGTCAGTGGGTGGAGGGTGGAACTCTTGCCCTTTAGCTCGAGTGGGTTCTGATGGCTGAGGGATCTGAACCTCCAGAGACACATGCTTTGGCCACCTCTCTGCCAAGGAGGTCAGCCAAGTAGCACAGGACAGTGGACACTGGAGTTAAGGAGTGAGAGGAGAAGAAAACAGGCTCCACTGTGTTGGGAGCCCGAGACGCTGACACCTGCTTGACACCCGTGGGACCTGCGTGGAGGCATGAGGTCATGGGCAGACACCCAGTCTTAGCCACAGGAGGCACAAGACCCCATGAGGACCCTTCTAGGAAATTCCAGAACTCCCTTCTGAGCTCCCACTGGCTGACCTCACGTCTGACAGGCTCCAGCCTTGGTCTGGTGGTCATGAGACTGGCCCATACTACGGTCCATATGTTAGGATTTTGCTCCAGCCACAGTCAGAGTACTCTTGAGATAAAGAAACAGGTTCGACAAGAACACATTGCCGGACCTTGCTTTCCGATTCTGAAATTCCCTGACTGAGTTTCTGAGCTTAAATTAGTCAGTGTGGGGTTCTAATTAATTGAAGTCTGGTCTGCCAAAACAGGTGAATTGTGACACTGGTGCGTATAGCCACAGGCCTTTGGGGTGACCAAGGGATGGTGTGGTAGGTAGTAGTAGGGCTAGGACTCATAGTGTTTCCATGTTTGTGATTAAGAGCCTTTTGAGGGCTGATGAGATGGCTCATCAGGTAAGGGAGCCGGTTGCCAAGACTGAAGACCTCAGTTCTATTCCCAGGACTGACATGATGGAAGGAAAGAACCCTTAAGTTGTCCTCTGACCTCTACATGTGTACCATGGTGCACACCCCCCCACACACACCACACCCCCCCCAAACATACACACACACACCAAATAGGAACGTAATTTTACAAATTTAAAGATCTCTTCTAGTACTAGGTAGGGTTAGGGGCTGAACCCAGCCTGGGCCACCACATGCCATCTGGAATTCTTGTGACTCCAAATTCTCAATTCACACTTGACCTTCAGGATGTCATGAAGATGTCTGTCAAGTCAGGGGAAGAGATTGGAGACTTTGCTAGTTTGATGGCTTAACTTTCAAACACTTGGACATATGGAAGCTGGCCTCTGCTGGCCTCTTCTCTGTGCTTCAAAATGTCCCTGGGTGGGTTTATGGTCCCTGGTCCACTGATGCCTTGCTCCCACTTACATCACTGGTAAGCTGAGTCTTGTCTCTGAAGAGCTCCACTCTCTCCCAGTAGGCCTGCAGGTGATAGACAGACTTAATGGGTGGCAAAGCCAACAGACTCAAGGCCTTGGTGAATCCCAAGATCTGCCTGTGCCTTAAAGTCCAACCCCTTAGCCCCAGCCAGGCCCGGCGGGCCATCTGATAGCCCTGCATTCTCCCAAATATATCCTTTGGGCTTTGTATCTTGAGGTCTGGGATCCTCTAGAGCAGTGGTTCTCAACCTTCCTAATCCTGCAACCCTTTAGTACAGTTCGTTATGTTGTAGTGATCCCAACCATAAAACTATTTCATTGCTATTTCATTACTATAATTTTGCTAATGTTATGAATTGTGAACATCTGTATTTTCTGATAGTTTTAGGTGACCCCTGTGAAATGGTTGCTCAATCCCCAAAGGGGTCATGACCCACAGATTGAGAACTGCTGTTCTGTGGGCACACAGGTCATGCCTTACAGAGAGGCAGGATGGGTTTCTGAGTGACTGAGGGAATCTGGAAAACTCAGTAGTCTTCCAAATTAACAGGTCCCTACCATGGCCCCTGCCTTCTGAGCTGAGGCCTGAAACGTCTCTACAGGTACCAAAGCCTCTCGCTCCTTTTAGTTCTTGCACCTACCCTTTTGCACACGCAGGAAATGGGGGACCGGGAAGTGACGATGACAGAACAACAAGACTTTTCAGACTGCTGACAGGGAGGTCTTGCATGGGGGGGGGGGCAGAGAGAGGAGGAGAGAAGGAGGGGAAGAAGAGAGGGAGGGGAAGAAGAGAGGGAGGGAGGAGGGCTAGCCTTAGTGGGAGGTACTGCTGTGTACAAGGAACATTTTCTTTCTGGACACCCTGACAGTGGGACCAGCTGCCTTCCTAAGAAGGGGTATGGGTGGGAAGTGCAGCTTGTTCTGTGCAGCCTGACTTACAAGTTCCTGGTCTGTTTAGAAGTCATACAAAGCCGGGCGGTGGTGGCACACACCTTTAATCCCAGCACTCGGGAGGCAGAGGCAGGCGGATTTCTGTGAGTTCGAGGCTAGGCTGGACCGACAGCCTCCAAAACAATACAGATAAACCCTGTCTCGTAAAACCAAAAAAAAAAAAAAAAAAAGAAGTCATACAAATAGGGTTGTTGGGTAAAAACAGAAAATCCAGTGACATTAGGATTTCAGACATTTTAGTCATCATGGGAGTCACATATCACTCTCTCTCTCCTTCTTTCTCTCTTTTCTTTCTTCCTCTGTCTCTCTCTGTCTCTGTCTCTCTCTCTCTCATACACACAAAGGAGGATACTTATACTAAAACATATATGATGGAGGATATTTATAGTAAAAAAAAACACTTTGCATTGCTTGAAGCTGTTTTCAATTTTTGTGACATCAGAGGGTCCTGCCCTCAAATTAAACACCTTGTGCTGGTGTCCCCAAGATAAGCCAAGTGACACCAGCCCAGGTGGTCCAGAGGACCTGTGTTAAGTCCTGAGTGAATGCTCTTCCTGAGTGAATGCTCTCCCTGAGTGAATGCTCTCCCTGAGTGAATGCTCTCCCTGAGTGAATGCTCTCCCTGAGTGAATGCTCTCCCTGAGTGAATGCTCTCCCTGAGTGAATGCTCTCCCTGAGTGAATGCTCTTCCTGAGTGAATGCTCTCCCTGAGTGAATGCTCTCCCTGAGCTGTCTCACTGCCGAAGCCCTGGCAGGGCTTCTTTCTTTGAGGGTGGTAGGGGGCAGGGAGGGGGTGGAGTGAGTCTGGCCCTGTAGAATCAGCTGGACAGGGAGCTTGTGGGAGATGCAGAGGTGACCTGTCTTCAGACCCTCGCGTTTTAGGTGTGAGGATGTTGGTGTTGTCTTGCCAATAAGCAAAGTCAGGAGAGCTGACGCCAGGAGCCACTCTGAGCCTTGTCTTCTGTATTTTACTCTGCCAGAACCATGGAAGGAGCCAAGAGGAGAGTTACTAAGTCTGGGAGGATGAAGCCAAGTGAGTTATCCATTTAGGGAGCAGTCTGGGCCACAGGCTCAATTTCGGAACCAGAAGGCAAATGTCATATAAAGCTACTTGGCAGCAGGGTTGAAGATAGAGAGGAGATCCGCAGCAGGGCCTCAAGCCCTCTCCTGCCACTGATCAGCGGGACAGAAGACCGTGCTCAGAGTTCAGGGTGAGCTGGGTGGCCCCAGCAGACCTAAGCTAGGAACAGACTCGAAGTATAGGCTCTAAGATGCACTGGCAACTGTTCTACTTCCTTGGAGGAGAAAATCAGAGAGATGGGCAGACCTTGGCATGTATTTGGATTTTGTCCAGGGTTAGTGGCACTGAGCTCCTAAAACCCATGATAATAGTGAGACTGAGGGTTGTGGGTAGCTTCACAATAGAGGCTGAAAGAAAGTCCAAGGGTGTGATATGCTGGAATTTGAACCCGAAACACCCTCAGCCGGCTTGTGTTTTGAAGGCATGATGCTATTTTCAAAGCTATGGAGCTACTGGGAGATGGGACCTGGCTGGCAGAAATTGGTCTTTGGGATGGGTCTTTGAAGCTTAATTTAAGCATTTGGCCCCCTGGGTTATTAGATGCAAAAAGAAATTGTAGGGAATTTTCAAATTTATAATTTGGGGGTCAGAAGTACTCATGGCATCTTGAGATGTGGGACTGATATCTGAAGTAGGAGGGATTCTGTGGTTCTTAAACTGTGGCACCAGTTGGGGGATTCTGAGCAGTGACTGTTAGGATTGAACGAGTTGTTAAGATTTCCACTTGGAACCAGGCATAGTGATGCGCTCCTTTAATCTCAGCACTTGGGAAGCAGAGGTAGGCAGAACTCTGTAAGTTTACTGACAGTCCGGTCTACGTGGTGAGTTCCAGGACAGCCAAAGCTATATCATGAGACCCTGTCTTGAAAAAAAAAAACAACAACAATAATAGACGAAGATTTTTAGATGGCATTCAGAGAGTTTGACAGTTGGTTGAAGTGAGGGGGGGACAGCCAAAGCTACATCATGAGACTCTGTCTTGAAAAAACAACAACAACAATAATAATAATAGAAGATTTTCAGTTAGTATTCAGAGAGTTTGGCAGTTGGTTGGGGCGAGAGGAACCCCTGCATTCAGTGTCAGTGCCCTGAATAAAAACCTGCCTTAGGCATCTAAAGTTCCTCATAGAGAGGCAGTCAATATGGGAGGCTAACCAACTGGGTAGAAGCTAGGTTCAGATAGGCGTCCTTAGACACACAGACAATGGAAATGACCCTTTGCTGGTGGTCGTTGAGCACCCAACTGAGGAGCGGATCCTAAAAGGCTGAACACGGCTGGGTGGGAAGCTCTTGCAGAAAGGATACAGGCAGATGAAATGTGGGAAGGCAGAAATGACTCTTGCAATATAGGGCTAAGAAAGTTACCCAGAAAGATATGGACTCAAGTCCCTAAGCCATCGAATCACACAGTAAGTTAAATATCTTAGCACTGCGCTGACTGAGAGCAGGTCCTCTACTGGTCTTCAGTGTGAGGACCATTTGCAGTAAAATGCAAAAGGTAGTTCCCTGGTTTGTGTCTGAGAGCAAGGACATCATGGCAATGACTGGCCAGGATTTTACTTTCTTTTAACATTTAAAAGTTTTTACTTTACTTGTATACGTGTATGTGTCTGTCAGTGAGTGTACACACATGCCTGCAGGTGCCCATGGAGACCAGAAGAGGCCACTGAATTCCCCAGAGCTGGAATTACAGGCAGTTGTGAGTCACTGCTCGCCCGTTGTGTCTCCTTGCGGGGTATAGTAAATGCAGGGATCTGCTAGGCTCTGCTTCTCGGCTAAAGGTCAAAGCTGAAAATCCGGCTTCCCTGCCATAGCTCCGGTCAGCTTGTTAAGTACGTCTGTTTATACAAGTGCTGGAGTGAGTACCGCTCTCTCAGGCTCTGACATACACCCTTGTGGTCTCCATAGCTTGCTTTTCAGGGAAGCTCAGCAAACCACAAAAAGACTCACTCTGTTTCTTCCTTCTTTACTCAGTGTTTTTTTTAAAAAACAAGACAATGAACTGTTTCTCTCGATGTTGAAATACCTTCTCTTGCAGCTCCCCCCGGCAGCAGAAAGCTTAGCAGAGAACACAGGCCCCCGGACAAGAGGAGGCACACCCAGCCCCTGTGTTGAACTTAGTCTTGCCCTTGCCCAAATCAAGGTCTACGCCAGTTCTCACCTCAAGTGCAGCAACACCTAGAGGGCTGCTGATCTAACGCTGAGAAGACTCCTGCCCTCAAACTCTGCACTACACAAGCCTGAATCCTTCCCTAGAAACATCCATCTGTCTGGGCCCAGTCATGCCCACTGCCTAGAGCAGAGCTGGTCTCTCATCGCCGCCGAGTGCTATGGAGAGGGTGGATGCTAGCAGACTTACCTTGGTGCTACTTTTGCTGATTCTAATAGACAATGAGACCAGATCTAGGTCTACTTCCTATGTCCACTTCAGAGCCCATTCTTCATGTTTAGGGATGCTCACTCTTGTTTTTTCTTAGGAGCTGAGGTAAGCAATGCTCTTTTTTAAGTGTCCAGAAAACCAAATACACTGTGTCCTGTCTTTTCTTTTCTCTTTTCCTTCCTTTTTTCTTTCTTCCTTTCTTCTATTTTTTCATTATCAGAGTAGATTTGGATAATCAGGCTTTGTTTTTTCCTCCTCACCTTTGGCCCATTTTCCCAGCAGCCTCCACTCCCCACACACACCTGCAGCAAACCCTGACTAAATCATCAGGCTTCCTTGGTTCAGGAGCTCTTAGACCTGTAGCGAGTGCTGCCTTGCTGCAGCCACAAAAACAAACCACCCTTTGTTGGAGTAGTGACCGAGGGACACATGCCCAGGACTGCCACTGCTTCCATTGGCTCTGACCCACCAACCAAGCTCCTTGGCACTTAAGCAGGACCAGCAGGATCACCATGCCTTGAGGTCTGAGTACCTTTGAGATGTAGCCCTGGGTGCCCTGCAGGGTGGGAGAGCAGGAACAGTGACATCGAAGGCTGGGGAGGGTTTGAGGGCTGAGAGGACTGTGTGGACATTGTTAGCGACGACATAGCTGCTTCTCATCCTCAGATTGCTGGAGTTGGGGTGACTGGAGGGGAGAGTACTGAAACTCCTTCAGTAGGTGGATTAGACACACACACACACACACACACACACACACACACACACACACACACACACACACACCCTGGTGAGGATGGAAGTTGAACTCAGCCCAGAGATGTGTGTTGTGTGTTCTTGTTTGCCAGTCTACATGACTGGTTGTCAAAGATGCTAAAATCTTGTCTGCAGGTTCAGCCAACAACTTCCTCCACCTTAGTGATCAGGAACAGACGCAGCATGGGGTAGCCTAGAGTCAACCCAGAATCTCAAGGCCCTGAGGTGACCTGGGGTCTCCTTTAGTCATTTATTTAGTGAATAAAAGTGTCATTTAAAGGGTTGGGTGCAGAATGGAGTGCAGGTGCTGCACCCTCAGTGGAGAGTGAATTTTGAGTGAAGGAGTGAAGGAATGATGTATTAGTCCAGGTATATGAAAGACGGCAGACAAGGACCCTGAGTCGCAAGCAATGGATTGCCCCATGTGCCTGAGTAGAGGGAGAAGGAGGTGACAGACAGAAGGTGAAGGTCAAGAAAGAGCAGGCCTGGAACATGGGGCTAAGATTACTGTAGCCTCTGGCTTCCTGTGTATAAGACGAGAGTCTCAGGGGGATGGGAGGGAGACTCGGAACCGGGAGGGGGTAGTGAAGCATGCCCAGTTACCTGACTGGTAAGAATCAACTGTAAATAGTACAAAATAGGAAGAAGATGACTGAGGTAATAATCCAGGTTGGCACAACAGCACCTTACGGTTTAGTCTGGACTTGAGTCTGTACTTTATTGTATATGACTCAAATCTCCTGGAGTAAGCGAATCTCTGTCCTTCTGCGTCCTCACCTCTAAAATGTCGAGCTCCTCATAGGATGAAATGAGTGAATGCTTACACAGGGCCTGGCCCATCACAAGTGCTTGTTGTTTCTGCTGCTGCTGCTGCTGCTGCTGCTGCTATATCAGAGGTGACTGGAGAGTGGTCAAGGCCTTAAGGGGGAAATAGCGTCAATACTGAAGTCATCATGGTTAGAATGGTGAATTGTAATCCTTGTGCTTGGGGACCAGAGGCAGGAACCTCAACTATACATCAAGTTCACGGCCAGCTTTGACTATATGAGACCCTGTTTTGAAACAAAAGCAAACATAAACACCATTGAAGCCTCAAACTGTAAATTCATTCATAGAAGCTGGAAGACAAACTGTGGGGACTGGCGAGGAGTGTCAGGAAAAGCTGGAGGTCCCGGATGAATGGGTAGTCTGGGGTGAGGTGAGAGTGACCATGAACACTCACTGGGAGGCCAGTCTGCGGGAGAGCAGTGGTGGGTGGGTTCTGGGTAGAATGAACCCAGGCAAGGAAACTAGGACATAAGGAGTTGGAATCCAGGCAGACCAAAGATCAAGATTTCATACTCAGGACGTAGCCAACCAGGGCAGCTTGAAGCAAGTACCCGGTGCCCACATCTTATTTCAAGTGTGAGGAAGGCTTCTTAAAGAGCGATTTCGCCTTCCATCAAAGCAGAAAACAGGACAGCTGCTAGCATTTTCCAACTTTGAGATATGAGGTAGGGGACTCAGTGGACAGGGCTTATGATGCAGGCTTGGGACTACTGCCTGGGGAGAGACTTAAACCCACTGCAGCCTGGGGAGGTTCCAAGGACCAAGAGATACTTAACAAAACCCACTAGTGTATTTAGATTAGAGATAGCATCTCAAAATGTTGGCCAGACATCCCTGCTTCTAAGCCAGAGACACTGAGGACTTGAGGACAAGTTCTTGTGTGGAATATGGAATAGCAGAGCCCCAAGAGCTTGTGAAGCATGTGGGCCAACAGTCTCCCCAGAACGGTACACTTGTCAGTCGTTGTGATGGTGCTACTTTTGCTGATTCTAATAGACAATGAGACCAGATCTAGGTCTACTTCCTATGTCCACTTCAAAGCCCATTCTTCATGTTTAGGGATGCTCACTCTTGTTTTTTCTTCTTTCAATATACCTGAATATCTGGTTCTTAGGTGAGGGGCTAGGAAACAGGCTCTCAAAACACAGCCAATCAAACAAATGAGAGGTGACCAGTCATCTACCCAAACATATTAAGGAGAATCATAGTTCCTTGAAGATGTTTGATTCTAGTGTATGGACCTGTGAGTATGCTCCCTTACAGGGATATTTGAAGTTGCTAGCTGTCTGTCCCTGAAATAGATCCAGTTGGTCCCAGTGTAATCACAGGGGTCTTTAGCAATGGAAAAGAGAAGCAGCAGAGGAATTATAATTAGAAGGAGATGTGCTTAAAGAATGAATGGTTAGAGGGCTACAGTGCCGGTGGCCTTGAAGACAGAGCAAGGGGACTATGAGTCAAAGAATGTGGCCAATCTCACGAAACTGGAAAAGGAAAGGAAACCAAATCTCCCTTGGAGCCTTCAAAAAGAAAAAAGACCCTGGCATCACTGACTTTTAGCTTGGCGAGATCCAATTTGGACTCCTGACCTTCAAATTATAAGAGAATTAATTGGCATCATCAAACTCACTAAGTTTGTGGTAGTTTGTTACAAAGTGACAGAAAATGAATATCCCAAGCTGGATATGTGTTCTGTGTGGAGAGCCCAGTGCTACACTATGTGTGGTTCTTATCCTTATTGTCCAACTGTACCTACCTTCTGGGTTTCAGCCATCCAGAAGATTCACCGTTACTTTGATAGTCCCTGTACCTGAACTCTACCAATGTTCCAGATGCTACTTGGAAAGGTCATCAGATTCTATATAGGTCCCTCAGGAGGCTCAGCCTGCTCATGGGTGGATGGAATGTTCAAAGGCTATATGAAGCAGGTTGGTGATTTGCGAACTGGGAAACTAGTCTGTGATTCCATGTACATGTATGACTCTCTAGACTTTGAACCAAGGACTCTGGATGCATGCATGGCTTCTCCTTTTAGGGCATTGACCACAGTCTTCAGCTATAGCTTCATATATGCAAATGTCCTTCTCCTACTAGATTTGAAGCTTCCTTGAGGCAAGGATTGTGACTTTAGTATTTATCTTTCTAACCTTCATAGGGAGAAGCTGAACTGGAGATAAGAGCAGGTTCTGAAGACTAGAAGGTAGGGGGATACCACAGGCTGCCAAGACCTCTGACTCCATGGCCTGGCTCGTCCACGGCCCCCAGACTTAGACTCTGACGACAGTCTGACCATACTTACTCCTTTAAATACAGTGCATAGTGAGCACTTATTGGAGACATATTTGTCATAGTTTCCCATCTTGGTATTTTTTAGGTTACTCATGACTACTACTAGATCATTCTAGCTCGTGGTTTCACTGGCCTGCCTCGCACAAGGTGATCAGAATAGTTTCCCAAGGCCCTGAGGGACCTACCTTCCCTATGTCAAAGAACCCCTTGGAGTCTTCATTCTGGGCCCTCTGGTAATCCTAGCTCCTCCACAGGTCCATTTTGTCTGTACTCTGCTCCAAGCAGGACACTCTCTGGAAACTTGCTGTCCTCACCTGTGGGGCAACAGAGTCAGGACAAAGAACTATAGGGCAGAGGGACCTGGATGTGATGACCCAACAAACAGCCAGTAGAGCAGGCTCTCCTCTCTCATTGGCACAGCCTGCCCTATTGCTCTGGGCCTCTTTAGGTAAACAAGGGAAAGAAAACAATGTCTATGGGCTACAAAAACGAACCTGTCAGGAAAGGAATGTTATTGCCAAGTGTTCTCAGAGGGCAGGACAAACAAAGAAGGTGAAATTTAACTTTAACATCAGGACTCTGGTTCTCAGCCACGGTCCCCAGGAGACCTATGGTCCCCAGCACAGGCCTAGAGCCCTTTCAACCTACCCCCTCCCTTGTCCAGGGTTAGCTTGGCTTGTTTCCTCCGACTGGGTGAGTGGCTTCCTAGGAAACAGCCAGTGGGGGGCGGAGGCTGCTAGGATTCAGGATGCTGGCAGGCCAGGCTCCATGAAGGCTGCTGGCGAGTCCTTTCAGAGGTGGCATTCCCATCTCCAAGGAGGCGATCACGTCAATAAAGGACGTTCGGCATCTTGCCCTCTCGGCTGGCAGAGAGGTCCCATGGCAACTGGAGCTGTGATCTGCATATGACAGCACATTGCTGCTATTCAGGACTTTTCTTTCCCTGCTTTCTTTGAAACAGGCTTGCCCTATATCCAAGTTCCCTGTGAGCCTCATACAATGAAAACAGCAGTTGACAGGTTCCCTGTAACTTGTGAAATCTGAGTGCATCTGAGGGGAGAAAGAGCGCTCATTACTGAAACACAAAACGAGCCCCTTTCAAGGCACAGCGCGTCGGCCCTTCCGTTTGCCGCCGCTGACCCCACTGCCCTTCCGTGCACAATGAGCGCAGAGGAGAAGGGAGAGAGAGGTCTTTACTCCTCAGGTTGCCAATTGATCACCCTCCTAACCCCTATGGGGGCTTCGTGGCCCAAACAATTCGGGTGACAGAGGTCAGGGCTCCAGCCTCTTCCTCTGGGGGATCTTAGCTCTCCCTGCAGGGACTTTCCCAGGTGAAACAAAGGCGAGCTCCCAGAGTCTTAAACATGCTCCAGTTGATGACACAGAGGAGAAACAGGGAAGGGAAATGAAAGGTGCCCAGAATCACAACACTGGACCTCCAGCCCCTTGCCAAATCAGACCCAAAGCACTGTTTGTACACTCTGGGATGGGGCCAGGTGTTGCAGAGACCCAGCTACATCCAAACTCCAACATGGCAGCCGATACCTGACATCTGGGTCAGGGAAAGGAAGCCGTGTGTGTTAGGGGTGGATAACTATTTTGCTCACACTATGACCCCCACCCCTTCAGTTAGCACACTTCTAATATCCAGAATATCAGAAGAAGATGAAAGAGAAGAAAAGGGGGAGAGAAAGAAGAAATTTAGAAGAATAAGAAAGAGATTTATTTCTTTTTTGAGGTAAGCTTCCAACAGATAAAGTTTCAAAGAAAGCCTGTGGAGAATGGCTGCCTGGTCCAGCAAGGGCGCTAGGGAGATCCAGCTCCATCCCTGGAACATACACAAAGCAACAGAGTTTTTCTGTGAGAACAACGCACAGTCCAGCCTTCCAAAGAAGAAGGGATGGTTGAAAGGATGGGCCACTACTTCTAGAAACAGTATTTGATGGTACACACACAATCTTGTTGTGTCAGTGATCTGGGATAGGTTACTGAAGGCTAGCAGGCAATCTTTTAATGTTGGATTTCTCATTTTAGCATCAGGAGACAAATTGTGCCAGTTACAACTCTACTTCCATTTTGCCAATACCAACCCTTCTTGCTAGAATATTCTCACCAATTCCTACTGATCCCTTCAGTTACACATCAAGTGCTACAGTCAACATACACACCCAGGCCTTAATGCTTCTCACTGTGTTGTGATGATCTGTTTACTTAAAGAATTTTAAATTTTCATTCTGTGTGTATGTGTGTATGTGTGTGGTACGCACGTGAGTGTGTGTAGAAAGAAGGGGTCAGTTTCAGGTGTTTTTCTCTATTATTTGCTTTTTTTTGTTTTTGTGATTTTTAAATTATTTTTGAAACAGGGTCTTTCACAGAATCCAGACCTCACTGGTTGATTGGATAGGCTGTTTAGATAGTTCTAGGGATCTACCTGCCTCTGCCTCTGCCCCTGTCTTCCATGTTGGCTGTCATATGGGTGCTGGGGCTCTGAACTGAAGTCCCATGCTTGTGTGGCCAGCACTTTACCCACTGGGCCATTGCCGCGGTCCTCTGTTTACTTGTTTTATGTGTGTGTGTGTGTGTGTGTGTGTGTGTGTGTGTGTGTGTGTGTGACATGACAATGATGTCTTAAAGTATAGGGTCAACCACTTTGTTCATCTTGATGTCGCTGGTGGTTGTCTTTCGAACAATTGCCCCAAGAACCAAACTGATCACGGTCAGGGTGATTACTATTACTATTTGTTGCTTCCAGTTTCTAGATTGGGTTTTATTCAATCACCAAAGCCTATCACATTACATAACTCCATTCACATCATGTAAACAGGACCCCTGCAGCAAAGCAACATCTCAGCTCTGCTTATGGAATGCCTTTGAAAGGCCAAGCACAATGGTGGAATCCAAGGACCAAACCACATGAAAGAAACAGCAATGACATATCTCAAGGATGTCCAGCTTGCTGATGTGTCAGGAATCTTAGGAAGAGAGAGGTGTGTGGACTACAGTCATTAGGAGAGGCATGCATGGTGAGGAAGGTAGAGCTTGAACTATCCATGATATCCACGAACAACAATGGAAATGTTCAAAACAATATGCAGAGCGCAGAGACTTAGGGTAGTGAAGTTACTCTGCAGGATCCTATAAAGGTGAATACAGACCCTAATGCACTGTCCAGATTCACAGAATGTGCAACTTCAAGTCCTTGCAAACTGTGGATGTCAAGTGGCAAGGCTGGGCCAATGTCAGCTCAGTGATTGTTAAAAAATGTACCACTCTAGCAGTCAATGTTGATATTGTGTACCAGAGCATGGAACATGGGAACTCTTTATTTGATGCTCAGTTTTACCGTGAGTCTTAAACGTCTCGAAAAAATAGTCTGTTAAAATATGGAGAAAGCATGAGTTGATTGGGGACAATAATTAGAAATATATGTTGCAAAAGAAGCAAGAACTTCTGTCAGTAACAGTGGCTTGTGCCCAAGGTGATACTAGAAGAGGGTGAGAGTGGACAACAGCCCCAGAGGGAAAAGACCCAGGTCCACTCCCCATTGCCATGGGAACACGATGGCGTAAAGCAGCATTATCCAAACTGATTTGTCTATTTATTTTTATTTTTTGGTGTGTGTTTATATGTATTGGGGTGTGTGTACCTGTGTCTGGAGCCCCAGTGATGCCTCTGTCTCTGTTCTCAGAAGTGCTGGAGTCACAGGCATGTAGTCACACCCACATTTTAAGGCTGGTATTAGAGACTCAAACTCAGGTCTTCAAAGAGTTCTTGCCTACAGAGCCATCTCCAGGTCCCTATAGCTTGTGTCTTATAAACAATTTTTATAACATTAAAAAAATCAATTGTTTTAAGACAGGGTATCACTATGGAGTCCTGGCTGGGCTCTAATTCACAGAGACCTTCCTGTCTCTGCATCCTGGATGCTGAGATTCAAAGTGTACACATTCACACCTGGCTTGGAGTAATATTCTAAGGGGTAAAACTGACACAGGCATGCCAAGCCATCATGAAAATACATAGGGTGGAAGCATGAATCAGTCTGGCCAACACGTATGCAAGACAATCACTAATGTGTGGGTTTGAGATGTAAACAGTAGTAGGATCAGAAAAAAGGGAGGGGTGTCTCTCTTGATGCCCCTGCTGTCCCTGATGTTGCAACTCTGCCACACTGCTGCCCTTGGAATTACTGCAGGGCTGAGTCAGTTGATCAAGCAGAGTGGCAGATTCCACCTTAGTGTGAGAAAGAACTTGTTGAAGGCACGGTTTTTCCAACAGCAGCCCAGATGTGTTTATAGAGTAGTGAGCCTCCTGTTCTGGAAGAATCCACGCCCTGGAAGCTGAATCCCGGACCAAGCCCCCCCCCCCCCAGGGCTCTCAGATCCTACTATTAGGAGTAGAGGATGGAGAGGAGGGGAAATCCACACAATCACAGGAACCCCATATCTGATTTTTAAAATTGATTGGCATTGTCCTCTGAGTTTTCACCATCACCGCCCCCAGGCCTTTTGATTGCCATGTTTGCTAAATTACAGGCATGTTACAGATGGCCAAAATCAACATGTGGGAAAATAAAGGGCGTACTTCAAGGGCAAGAGCTGCCTGCTTTTAGAAGAACGAGGTTTACTCTCGAGGGCTGTGCAGAAACTCCCCACCAGCAAGGCTTGGCTTTGACAGAACAGGATCACTGCCCTCCCTGGGTTATAATGAGTCTTCCTTAGACTTCTGAACAAATGGCTCTGAGGTCACCTTTTGCCAGAGGAAGCATGAACCTTCCAGGAGGGAATTAGATTGGCCCCTGATAAGGCAGCATCCTGTCTGACTCCCTGGCCACACCCTCACAGCTGGGCCAGCTGTGGTCTTTGCTGACTTCAAAGAAACGGCTTCCCTTGGACCCACATCAAGGACTTAAATGAGAAAAGGGTCCTCTGACCTTTCTAGTGAAGGATGGGACCACCTTTGTGGGGGGCGGTGTGCGTGCGTGTGTGTATTTTTCCGGTCACTATTATATTTTCACACACTGGATATAAAATATCTGAAAACAATCACCGGAAATAGTCTTTCACCTATGGCCAGAGACTGGAGTCTGGCCCAGTGTGGGAGAGGCTGTGCGCTCCCTGTGTGGAGCCAGTGGCCACGGGATGCATACTCTCAAAGGTGGACGGCTGAGCTTTCAGACTGGTGTTCTGAAGAGCCCTCAACCAAGAGCATATGGTTTCTGATTGGACACAGCTTCTACCCACCATTGTCTTCTCCCTGGGAAATGTCTACCTGAGAGACCTTCTTCTCAGACCCACAATCTGCCCTGTTCTCAAGGTTTTCCACTTCAGCAGCAACCCAACCTGACAATCAAGACCATTCCAGGCCTGAAATCCAGCCCCATCCTGGGTTCTCTGGAGGGAACTCTGTGGTGGTTGTGGTCAGCTGTGTGGGGAGACAGTGGGATTTCCACCCATTCTGAGGTTAAGGCTGCTCAGAGCTAACCGTGGGAAGCAGACAAACTTGTGCCTGTAAAGGGGGGGGATGCTCCCCCAGCCCAAACCCCATCAGGCCTATAGGAAGGAGGACTAAATCCCACTCTGCTTTGGAGACCTGAGCTGCAGCACCAGGCTTCAGCAGGCCCTGTTACCAGAAAGTGCTAACAGGGGCCATCCAGGCCTCTGCGGTGTGACCTCCCCTGAAAGGAACCTGGCCAGTCCTTGGGCCAATACCCACAGGCTGAAAGACAGAGAACATTGATTAAGGATAAAATGAGAAGTCCAAAGATTTACAGCAGAGGACATTTGGCCTTACCCAGCCCCCCCTGTAGGCTTTCTCAGCCACTGTCTGTAGGGCTTGAGATTTAGAAAGTTCAGGGAAGGGAG